TATTTTGTTCCCTTGAGTTTGAATCTGAAGTTTTCTTGCCCCGTTAACGTTTTAAAATTGGGATCGGCGCCAATTCGTTCTCAATATGAAGTAATACAGCTTTGAGACTCCTAGTTGATGAATCTATTAAGAGTCTCAACTCATCGTCTTTATAGATATTAGGTTTCAATTGATCAACCAAGGTGTAATATCGCAACAGTATACCATCGAGTTATCATCGTCTTTTGTAAAGAATTCCCGGAACTCTCCTTTTCTCGTACGATAAAAGGAGGACGATACTCCTTTAGCTAACAAATTTTTTCCTTTCAGTCTTGACCCAGTAATTTAGCTCCATTCTTATGCAATCCTAAAAATTTCCATTAAAAATCCCTTACGATCGCTTGTGCCTGCAACCAGGGCACCTGCACGGGGTGACGGTGTGCAACAAAAACCTCTGGCAGAGTCCCTGGGTTAACGGCGTGTGTGCCGTCATGGCAGGTACAAGTGATGAGCACATTACGATGCAGGGATTTGGAAACCCAGTATCGGCGCCTGGTCAGGGTGAGAAAGCAAGCCCGCAGGCGTCGTTATCAAGCGACTGCAGCTCTTCAGTAGTGGGAAACTTGGCTACTGGAGAGTATACTATTACAAGAAGTAATTCCCATCTTTGTAATAAAAGTCCTGATTCATTTTGTTACGTTTGTGGCGAGTTTGAACCGGCTAAAAACCGTAGAGCATTTTCCGAACGATTAAAAAAAAGTTATGAGGAATGCTTTCGGATTCAAATTACGAATTTGGATTCGGCCTGGGTCCCACATTATGTTTGTTGTCGATGTTATAGCATGTTGATACGATGGGAAAAGGACAGAAAACGAGGAAACTTAAAATTTACAGTCCCCATGATCTGGACTTCACCCACAAGTTCGGAAAACTTACTTTTATGTGACTGAAATTGCTGGTTTTTCCTCGTCTAACAGAAACAAAATACAATACGCAAACATTTCATCAGCTATTCAACCACACAAAACAATAGCCGTAGATGAAATTGAGGCTCTTGAAGAGATGGAAGTAGAAAAAGAAGATGTGCAAATGGAAGAGGTGCTAGAAGAAAGTTCTGAAAATTCGAATTCTGAAAATGAAAATTCTGACGATGAAGATTACATGCCACGTGTGAAAACAAAAGACCCTAAAACATTCAACCGAGCAGAACTTAATGATCTTATACGAGATTTAGGATTGCCTAAGGATGGAGCTGAATTACTGGCGTCGAGCCTGAAAGGAAAAAATTTGTTAGCTAAAGGAGTATCGTCCTCCTTTTATCGTACAAGAGAAGAAGAGTTCCGGAATTCTTTACAAAAGACGATGAGAACTCGATGGTGTGTACTGTTGCAATATTAAAGGCTTGGTTGATCAATTGAAACCTAATATCTATAAATTCGATGAGCGGAGACTCTTTAGAGATTCATCAACTAGGAGTCTCAAAGCTGTATTACTTCATATTGGAAACGAATTAGCGCCGATCCCAATAGCTCATTCGACTAAACTTAAAGAGACCTACGAAAACTTACACATAGTATTGGATAAAATAAAGTATTCCGAACATAAATGAAGAATTTGTGGAGACCTGAAAATTGCAACGCTTCTTTTAGGCCAACAATTGGGATTCACAAAATATCCCTGCTATCTATGTTTGTGGGATAGCAGAGACAGGAAAAATCACTATGTGAAGAAAGAATGGCCTACAAGAGCGACATTCAATCTAGGTACTCATAATGTTATACGAGCACCATTGATTCCGCCTTCAAAATATCTGCTCCCACCACTTCACATCAAGCTAGGTCTCATAAAACAGTATGTCAAAGCTTTGGACAAAAATGGTGATTGTTTCCAGTACTTGAGAGAAAAGTTTCCGGCGATAAGTGATGCCAAATTAAAAGAGGGAATTTTTAATGGACTCCAAATTAGAACTCTATTTCAGGATGCTAGTTTTATAGGTAAAATGAATGATACGGAGAGAGCAGCTTGGGTAAGTTTCAAAAATGTGTGTCATAACTTTTTAGGAAATAATAAAAGTGAAAATTATAGGACAATAGTAGAACAATTGGTGACAAATTTCAGAAATTTAGGCTGCATAATGAACTTCAAACTACACTTCATGGATTCTCACATTGACTATGGAGACTACTATTTTCGTAGTTTCCTGAAAATCTTGGAGACTACAGTGAAGAACAGGGAGAACGATTCCATCAAGACATAAGTGAAATGGAGACTAGATATCAATGAAATTGGAATATTAATATGATGGCAGATTTTTGCTGGACACTTAAAAGGGATACACTAAGAGATAATAACAAACGGAAGAAAAATCCACTGCGTAGATCGTTTGAGAGCAAAAGAGTTTGATACCAACGAAGAACAGTTTAAAATTCGAGAAAATCGTTCTCTTTATACTAGTTATTCGTCATTTTTTATAGATACTACAATTTTTTATGTTTTCAAATTCTGAACTTGTAATTTATGCGTGAAAAAATACAAGAAAAGTATTTAATCATGTTTTATAGATTTTTTTTTCATATTTGTAATTGCAATTTTCCCGATTTTTTTGGTTTTTAAAAATTTTTTTTAATTTTAAAACGTTAACGAGGCAAGAAAACTTCAGATTTAAACTCAACGGAACAAAATACATGAAAATCATACTCAATCTAAGTCCAAAAAAATTTTTATGTCAAAAACTTTAATTTTTCATGATTTATTGCCTTTTATTTGGGTTTTTCGTTTTTTTTTTTTTTTCAAATTTGGACGGCTCACCGGGCTTATTAACTTTTAGATTTAGATTCAGTAATCCGAAATGGTTCTGTAACAGTTCAACCGCGGACATTTCAACCGCGACAGTTCAACCGCGACATTTCAACCGACGACTTTTCAACCGAAGGACAATTCAACCGCAAGACAATTCAACCTATGACAGTTTAACTGCAGTTTTCCTGATAAATTGATCACAAAATCCATGATAATAGGGCACAATAATCATTTTTTTATTTTTGAAATACTGCGAAAAAAACTTTATAATTGTGATTATTAGTATTATTATTATTACATATCTTGAAATGCAATAAAAACTACATTTCTGACCGTTTTTTATATATTTAAAAACGAAATAACGAATATACAGTAATGTTAGATGACGATTAATTTAAATAATATCATGATAAATTACAACGACAAAACAGACGCAATATCATGAAGATACTTCAATTTATTTGTAGATTTATAGTCAGCAACGATATTATGAACACAAACGCGGGTAATTGTGTTGCTCCCTTTTAACATGGTTTTTGTGTGTGTTTACTCAGTAATAGGCCATTACAAACGCGGGTAATCGTGTTGCACCCTTTTAACATGGTTTTTGTGTGTATTTATTCGACATTAGACCAACACAAATGCGGGTAATCGTGTTGCGCCTTTTTAACATGGTTTTTGTGTGTTTACTCAGTAATAGGCCATTACAAACGCGGGTAATCATGTTGCGCCCTTTTAACATGGTTTTTATGTGTGTTTATTCGACATTAGACCAACACAGAAGCTTGTTACCGTGTTAGGTCCATTTATCATGGATTTTGTCATCAATTTATCAGAAAAACTGCAGTTAAACTGTCATCGGTTGAATTGTCTTGCGGTTGAATTGTCCTTCGGTTGGAAAGTCGTCGGTTGAAATGTCGTCGGTTGACTAGTCGTGGCACCATTCGAAATACACCAAAATCATATGTGATCCGGATCCACAAAAATTTTTTCATGGCTGTGACTGCAGTTTTTTGCAATTTTTGACCTTTTTTTGAGGTTTTTTGCATTTTACTCAAAACTGGAGGGTGACCGGACCAAACGGACTCGAAATTCGGATTCAGCGGGTCGAAAAACATGTCGGTAGGTAGGTCTGGTTCAAAGTACATTCCATTTTTTTTGTGTGCCGGTGGAAATTATAATTATTTCCTTTTTTATTAATGTCCATTTATATTAATGTCTAATTTTACTTAAGTACTTTTATCATTATTCCCGAAAAACCAAATGTCCATTTTTAGAAATTTCCATATCCATTTATTCAAATGTCCAAAAATACACATTTCCAATAATACAAAAGCGACACGAACAGGGATAAATTAATGTCACGCATAGTAACTCATAACTTCTAATAATTTACCCACGGTATAAATTGACAATCGCTGTTATTTTCAAGAAAATTATAGACAGAATGTAAAGAATCTTCTAACTCTTTTTTGGTTCCAGTAGATTTCTTTCCTCTGTACATTTTTTAAATTATTAAAACACTCTTCGTGATAACGAGTATTTACTTCAACCAATGAATCAATATTAGATAATCGAGTTAAAATTCTTTCACCATACTCGTCATCTCTGGCCTCTGCAGTTTCAATTAATCTTCTTAATATATCATCAGATCTAACTATGTACTTGGTGTCCTTTTCTTTGCTTTGCCACGGATTTTCACAAAATTAAGACAAGTTTACGAAATCATAAGTGATAAATAAAAAAATCTCATGATGAAAACTCGATTTTTGCAAAACGGGGTGAAAACAATAACTTCCCGATTTTTGAAAATCTGAGATTTTTAGCGGGAAGTTAAAAATTATTTGAATGAAATTCTTCAAAAGTTGTTAATTCAAATATTTCTTAATTAATTTTTTTTAAATTAATAATTCATAATTTTTTTTATTACTTACCTGAAAAATAAATCATGAAGAAAGTGAATTTTTTGAAACTTTGTCTACCATATAGTGCGATAGTTTGCTGGGATGTGTAATGAGAAGAGATGGGGGCTCATTAAAACTTTTATTTCTAAAAGACCTGACCTAGTAAACAAAAACAAAACATTGACCTAAGTACTCTTATTTTCTCGAAAAAGATTCATAAACGTAATTAACGAGTCTTGTCAATTCAAATGCATGAATGCGCGCAATGAGTATTATTAATTTTTTAACACCTCCCGCCCAATTAAGTATTTTTTTACGGCTAGTCGTAAAAACTCTGATGAACACTTCACAAATAAAACATCCAAGCGCACAGAGTATTCCGAGAACCAACAAAATGAATGTGAAAATATCATCAAACTGAATGGGCCGGTAGTAGTCTTCATATTCTTCTTCAATCATTTTAGAGTTTCGTTCTATGATTTGTTGATTTCCATCGTACCAGTGGTCCATAATACCAGATTGTGTTATACGCATAATTACATTATTAACGCGCTTCTGTAATGGCCAACTGTGTCTCATCAACAGGACGCTGAATCCGAGGTTCAGAAGATTTTTGGAAACCTGAAAATTTTTGTTAACTTTAAAACGCTGCAAATGGATTATGTCACTGACGAAAGCGACAGACTCGTTTATAATTATGTTCTTGAGATATTGAGTACTAGCAAACATCGTTTTATTCCACAACAGAGGATCCTTTATGTAGTTTTTATTTGAGGGTAGCGCATAAATTTTCAGGTAACTCTGATCTTTGAGATCTTCCAGAGTCTCGGCATTTTTTCTATATTCGGGTTTGGTTAAAAATGCTGCCAGGTGCCCATCAGATCATCTGAGTCAGTTAATGATCTAGTCTCACTAAGAGTTAAATCTGCTGAGTGATTGTAGAACAAAGGTCGAATCTTTTTGAATTCATCAAAAGAATAATCTTCACCTGGATAGCCGTAAGTTATGTTGATTGATACGTCCAAATATTTCACCAATATGCGAATGAGGTGTTTTTCAAATAATCGCAACTGTAAATTATTTATTTCTTGATTATCAGTATTTTTAGTAATTAATTTGTTGATAAAATAAACTTTCTTTGTCAAACTTCTGATTCGATTGAGTGTTTTTATTGTGTGGCCAGTCAAGTTCTTCGTGCGATCAAATATTATATTTCTGCATAATTCGATATCTATTTTTGAGAAATATTGTTAATTAGTTTTGTTAGTTTTTTATGTTTTGTATGCTATAAAATATATTTTTAGGTAGATTTTGTTAGAAATCTAACTATTGCATTTGTCCTCATGGTGAAATTTTCAACTGATTTTGCTATCATATGTTATAATTAGTCAAGTAAATTCCAAAAATACCATTGGTTAAAAAATTTATATATGTATATGTATGTATTAGGGTGGCGCAAAAAAAACCGACTATTTTTTTTTTTTAGTCTCGAATGAAAAAATGTTAGTTTTTGATGTTTTAAGGGCCCTCACCAAAGGACAGCTCAAAAAAAATTTTTAAGAGGTCACTCCAAATTTTTCAAAATTTCAAAAATCGTCAAAAATCAAAAATTTTTTTTTTTTAATTTTTTTTCTCGTTACGGTATAATTTTATAGACCAAAAAAAAATAAGTTTCTGAAAGTTTCAGTTCAAAATTTAAATTTTGAAAGGTCGCTCATAATTTTTTTTATTTTTCGTTAATTAGTCAAATCGCCGACTTTAAGTGTTGGGAGTGGTACGCTGGGGTCTTTTTGGTTTGAAAAAATCTTAACCTACTCGGCAAGGTCGGATCTCAACCAAGCTGGTTTCTAAGACCAGCTTGGGATTCGAACTCACGCCGGGCAGTTGATTAAATAAAATTATTAAATTAAAAAAAAATTACATTTTCTATGTTGTGCTTGATTTTTAGTTCATCTCGAGATGTATTCTTATCGATTATTGTACGAAATAAAAAAAAAAAAATGTATGGAATTTTAATTTGAATAGTAAAATGTCGCTCGAAAAAATCTAAACTAATGCACTAATAAATTGAAAAAAAATATGAGCGACCTTTCAAAATTCGAATTTTGAACTGAAATTTTCAGAAACTAATTTTTTTTAGGTCTATTAGATTATACCGTAACGAGAAAAAAAATAAAAAAAAAAAAAAATT